TAAAAACACTAATTTTACTCTTCATTTATCTAGGTTGTGTTTGGTACGGTGTTACTGCAAAAAAGAATCATTTGAAAGCCACATAAAAGAAGACTTGACTTGGCTACAAGAACCTTTTTTTTACACGTAAAATTAAGCACAATATAATTGATTATAAAGCAAAGATAATTTATTATATTTTTTATATAATTAATTACAAAAAAAAAAAAGCAACTGTATCTTATATAATAACTTTTTTTTTATAATTAATCACACCACTTTCTTAACAAAAAGTTTAAGAAATTTTTTTTCTAAAAAATAATAATATAATGAATTACTTTCTTTTATAATCAATTATATTATGCATAAATTTAAAAAAAGTGACATGGAGTAGTGTTATTAAATGCATGTAAGTACCTTTACATGGTAGAATATTCATGTTAGATGTTTCGTTAAAATAATATGTCACATGAATAAAAATTAAAGATGAACTAAATAAAAGTTAGATTTTAAACCTTAACGATAAAAAAAAAAAAAGAATTTTTTCAATATAAAGATCAAAAAAAAAATTTTAATTGTAGAGAGACCTAGAAAAATATTTAACATTTAAATTTACAGGATAAAAAATTTAATTTCTTAATTAAGTCGAGGCATTTTTTTTGCGACTTCTCAAATTCATTTTTTTAAGAACACTATATATCGAAGACACCCTCAGGTGTAAAAATACAAAAATAAACTGTAAAAAATTCAAGAGGAAAATCCCCCCACCAAACGAGCCCTTACGTCGTCCGTTATAATGCAGCCTCCTTGAAAATGCCTCCACCTACAACCTACAGCCGTCGTCACTCCCATTTCCTATTATCTTTTCTATTCCACCAACTACTCCCCATTTTCCCTCTACCGCACTCATCCATGGAAGCTTCAGCAGCTCTCCCTCGCATAGGTCTCGCGGGTCTCGCCGTGATGGGTCAAAATTTGGCCCTCAACATCGCCGAGAAAGGCTTCCCCATCTCCGTATACAACCGCACCACCTCCAAGGTCGACGAGACCCTCCACAGGGCCCATGAGGAGGGCCAACTTCCGCTGTTTGGCCATTATACTCCTCGCGATTTTGTACTCTCCATTCAACGCCCTAGATCAGTCGTCATCCTCGTCAAGGCTGGCTCTCCTGTCGACCAGACCATCGCCGCTCTCTCCGACCATATGGAGCCTGGCGACTGCATCATCGATGGTGGGAACGAGTGGTACGAGAACACTGAGCGACGCATCCAGGAAGCTGCTCATAATGGTATTCTCTATCTGGGTATGGGCGTTTCAGGTGGAGAAGAAGGCGCCCGTCAAGGGCCTTCTTTGATGCCCGGTGGGTCTTATGAAGGGTATAGCAACATCAAGGATATACTTGAAAAGGTTGCCGCGCAGGTGGAAGATGGACCCTGTGTTACTTACATTGGAGAAGGGGGTTCCGGCAACTTTGTCAAGATGGTTCATAACGGAATCGAGTACGGTGATATGCAGCTGATTTCAGAAGCATACGACGTATTGAAACACGTCGGGGGACTGTCAAATGAGGAATTGGGTGAAATTTTTGCGGAGTGGAACAGAGGGGAGTTGGAAAGTTTCTTAATTGAAATTACTTCTGATATTTTCAGGGTTAAGGATGAGCTTGCAGAAGGGGATTTGGTGGACAAGATTTTGGACAAAACCGGCATGAAGGGGACAGGGAAATGGACGGTGCAGCAGGCTGCTGAGCTTTCTGTGGCTGCGCCCACCATAGCTGCTTCATTGGATTGCAGATACTTGAGTGGATTGAAGGAAGAAAGGGAGAGTGCAACTGAGGTATTGAAAGAAGCTGGATTGAAGGAGGAAGTAGGATCAGTAGCCCATGGAATTGATAAGAGAAGGTTGATTGATGATGTAAGACAAGCACTTTATGCATCCAAGATATGCAGTTATGCTCAAGGAATGAACTTGCTGAGAGCTAAGAGTGTTGAAAAGGGGTGGAATTTGAATTTTGGAGAGCTAGCCAGGATTTGGAAAGGTGGGTGCATTATAAGGGCTGTATTTTTGGATAGGATCAAGAAAGCTTACCAGAGGAATCCAAATTTGGCTAGTTTGGTTGTAGACCCTGAGTTTGCAAGGGAGATGGTACAGAGGCAGGCAGCTTGGAGGAGAGTTGTAGGGTTGGCTATCTCTGCTGGGATCAGCACTCCGGGAATGTGCGCCAGTCTTGCCTACTTCGATACCTACAGGCGTGCAAGACTCCCAGCTAATCTAGTGCAGGCGCAGAGGGATTTGTTTGGGGCACATACTTATGAGAGGATTGATCATCCTGGGTCGTTTCATACTGAGTGGACAAAGCTAGCCCGGAAGAGTAAGGCTGGTGTTGGTGCGCTTAATTGACCTCTATGACAGTTTTTGTTTCCCGCTTGTTTCAATTGGGTGTTACCGTGTTGGTGTTTTGTTTCCTATGCTGGCATAGCAATTACTGTTCAACCTTGCAACTTTTGCTGCTAATAAGAAATGCATGCTTTTTTTCTTTTTTTTTAAACAATTACATGGGTACAGTAATGAAACACAACACAATTCCAAAACCGATCAATTTAAAATTACCTGAAATCTTATATATACTTTACAACTCACACACGGAACGGAATCGACGTGAAACAAAAATGCAAGCCTTTTGAGTCATAGAAATTGAGTGATTTTTTGATGACTTGGGGTTGCGTGACACCGTGCAGTAGATAAGAGTTTACCAATTCCTGCATATATAATCCTGTTTTAAATTTGAAAAATCAGATTCAATATTTTGATGGAAATGTTACTTGTGCATTTGCTATGACATGAGACATGAAACTGGAAGGAGTTGAGGAGACAAAAATGGATGTAAATTTCTTGCTTTTCCATTGCTTGAATCTCCTCAGTTCAAAGTGTCTGATAAACACCACCGTAAAATAACTCATCAAAACTAGCCCACCACAACCTAGCACCATTTTGATTACCCACGGATACCATGGCCTCTGCTTTCCCTCTACTACCCCAATAACAGCGAAATGGCCCTGATCTGAAGTATAACACAGTGGGAGAGATCATATCAATGAAATCAATGAAATAAATGCCATGAGGCAATGAAATGCGTCAAATTGAGGCTGAATTTTTTTTTTTTCCTTTTAAGTTTGTAGAGGCTAAAATCGATCCCAAGATGTGATTAAAAGTACAAATACATACCTCTATCATCAGATCACATGACTGATGGTTCAAATTGAGACTAATAATTCTTATTCTATTTACCTTGACATTTGATGCATCAAAAACCAAGAAACTAACAACGAAAGTGATCAATGAGTAATCTGTAACTCTGTTGTAGTTAGAGGATCAATTCCTCGAGTTCGACTATCGCCAGCCTTGTCACATGATGAACCGAAATGGTCCCTGGTGTGATGTGAAAGCTGCGGGAATTAGCTCATGTTTGACCTTGACCATTAAACAAAATGGTAATCTGTGTTCAAAAACATGTTTACAAGAGAATGTTTTCCAATGCTTTATAGAATAATGATGTTTTTCTATAAAGCCACCGCGGAGGACAGTGTTTTTGAGAAAAAATGAAGCTTTTTGCCGACTCTAATCATCTTATTATGTTTTTCTTCACTTAAATGAGTGGGTCAGCAGTCAGATATGCCCACGCCATTTTTACTTCCTATGAATGCTTCCCTCAATACATAGATGGAAGAAAAAGGAGCAGCCTCAGCCCCCCCTGTGAAATGCGTGAGAGCGACCCTAGTATCGTATTTCCTGCAACAACATGCTCTGATCTGGAATAAATTAAAGATGGTGCATGGAGTAACAAGTCTAGTCACTAACAATGCCGAAACGATAATTTTGGAAGGTTTGAATCAGAATATGCTACAACTTAGAAGATATATGTGTTTAAGCATGGAATCGAATATACACAGGTTTTTGCTGTCTCCAAAAAGGGAAAAAAAATGGTTGGAATCAATATAGCTCCTGAACCTAGGCCGACGAAATGATCTGAGACTAATTGGGGAGAACAAAAGAGAAGGGTGGTAGTCTACTAGAGTTATCGTGAATAACTCATTGTCGGATGGTGAGTTCAGCCCTGAGGTGGAGGATGCCCTTAATGAAGTAAGCACTGTCATCGGCCATGAATGCTGGCCATGGTATGGCAAACAGGTTTCGGTACCCAACTGCCTTGCCTCCGGTGAAAGTGTAATTCCCTTTATACTTGCTCATGTACTCTTCATTTGGCTTTGTTCTCGCTGCAAACTCATAGTCAACTGCAAAACTAACAGATCCCTTCTCCTGCATCCCCAGAAATAGCCCAAAGCAATGGAATGAGCTTTGCTGGTCCATGTTGCAGTGAGCAGAGAGGAAAAATCCCTGTCCACCAAGGTGAAATGCCTGTGAATAAACCCGGCCAGCTGGAAAAAGATGGGCACATTCTTCACGCTTCAGATCAAGGTAAACAACACACTGCTGCCGTGGAAGTTCAAACTCCACCACCTTGACCGGACGGTACTTGTAAGCCCGCTCCACAAAGCGACGACAAGTGGCATTGGCCTCCTCAGCTGCAAGAGTACGCTGCCTGTACGGTGTCTCAGCCTTGAAAAAGAGAGCCTCAAGCACAACCTTGGATGCAAGTTCTGGTTCAAAGTCATTGCAGATTAGGACCTTCTTCAGCTTTCGGCAAGTCATGTATGGAAAACGGATCAGCCGACCAAGGCGTGAAGCAAGGACTTCCCTTCGTTCCTCCAGTTTTGGGTAATGATTCCGAGCCCACTTCAGCACAAAGTCGTACACAGCATCCTCTGAAGCTACCTGGAGATCATCGCTAGAAAGAACTGCCTCTATACCAGCAAGAGGTAGGCTGAGTACCTCCTCAGGGAATCTGGCAAAAATACACAGCACATTAATGAAATGGTGGATTACCCCACAATGAACAGAAACCAGCTCCATATACAAGATTGCATTTCGCTCACCTTACTTTCATGAGGAGTTAAGAAAAAAATAAAAATAAAACTGTTATAATTTCCTAGGAGAAGTGCAATGTAAGAATAGAATTGAGGATAAAGATACCCACTTAGTTATGTCCTTGTATCGTGCAGCAAGAAACTGCTTTGCTGCATCAGTTAATGCTTGAACGGCATCTGCCATTAAAACACTGGAAGGAAGGTCCAAATAGAGTAAGGCAGAGTCCAAGGTCATAGGCAGGTTCCTCAGCAACCTGCTGCAGTATCTCATGCATGACGCAACCTCAAATTTGTCAGCAGCCATCAACACATCCAGCAAAGCAGTAGGTGTGGTTGTTGATAAAGCATTGCTGTACATGAAATGGAGGAGGTCCAAAAGGGCTGCTTCTTCTGCTCAAGAAAAATACAGAGGAAGGAGTTTTAGGTCATATTACCTAGTCAATAATGAGCCACTGACCTATTTAAGAATGTGATGACCTCTAAGTAATTAGCCAGCCCATAACTGATCTCAAAGATGAACAAAACTCAAACAAATGAGCATCAACGTGAGGAAAGACCAACAAGCATGGTGACAATATATTTCATATAAGAATAATCTGATTCCCAGAATCCCAGTACGCAAGAAAAAGAGTGCAAATGACTGACTAGAAATAATAATGTTCTGAGTTCCAGCATTTACCAGATGCATGTATACGGAGAATTACATGCCGTTGCTCAGACTCTCTCATCCCATTTGAAAACAACTAGAAGAGGCATAATCGATTAGTCAGAATGATGGCCAAAGATTTTTTCCCTTTCTTGGCACAAAGCAAAATCCCCTGAAGTCTTACCTTGTAGAAAAATGGACTTTTTGCGGCTAAAATTGGAGAACTAATGTGTATATTCCTCACTCGAAGAACTGTTGAACAATCCATATTCCGAGAAGAAAAATGAACATGACCATCATCATCATCATCATCCGCTGCAGAACAATCAAATGGGCTCTCAAGGTCTATTCTACATAGAAATTTGAGAAGATGAGGGAAGCAAGTACTAACCAGTTTGATTTAAATTAAACCCATCATCTGAAGGTGGCTCCTCAATCATTGCCATAGCTTCCTCATCTTGATTTTCATAAGCCACCCCATCCTCAGTGTCTGGAATGTTACAGTTTAAAACTTGCTCCTGTTGTTGCACAACATCCACACCTAATAAGGGGAAACAGCGAAAACATTCTATAATTTTTGGTACAAAATGAAAACATTTAAGTGTAAATCAAGACAAGAAACATTTCTATGTGCAAAACTCAAAACTGTAGCAGACGACTGCTGGCTGTGACTCAAAGCACCATCTAGTGTTTTTTAACATGACCAGGAAAGAAGCAAATTCACCAACAATTCCAGTGGGTTTTTTTCATTTTTTCCATTAAAATAGATGCCTTCCACAAATAAAACTAGACTATCATTTCCACAGATGATGCTAGTCCACAAAGCTTTCATAAAAAATTTTAACTTTGAAGATGAAAAATTAGAAACTTATATAAACAATCATCCTAAGAATCCTACACTTAACACCAATCACCCACTAAAAATTAGTTTCAACCAAGGTTAAATTTAGCAATAATTTGACATCAATCATTAACAAAACTAAGCAGAAAAGGAATTCACTTTGAAAAACAAACCATTCTCTTTCTTGATATCTTCTCGCCTCCTCTTCCGATTCCGCGCCCAATCAGCGATGCTAGAACAAGCATCACTGTCGGACTTGCTCTCCGGCAAATCAGGAATTATCTCGATCCTGAGGACCCGATCCGAGAAATTACTATCGTTGAAGGCGAAGCCGAAGTCCGGGTCGACCACCGACACGGAGGCTCCACCACCACCACCACCACCCGGCGAGAAGTCCGATTCCATACAAGTTTTCGGATCGAAAAGATCCACGATCTCGAAGGCTCCCCTGATCAGCGTAAACAACCAAGCCCTAAGAATTGCAGGCAGAAAACAACAGCAATTACGGATCCCAACTTTCGAAGCGACTGAGGTTTTCTCGGATTTTCTTGGCACAAAATGAACGGTACCAAACAACCTTCTCTCCTCATTTAGTCTTCTTTCATCGTATCTTTACCACGTGGCGTTAGGTAATGCGGTTTAGTTTTCGTTTTCTTTGTAATAATAAATACATATTAATATATCGTATTAATGTCTACCGGCTGGAATACGAAAAAAGAAGAAAGAAAAAAAGTTTGAAAATATTTTTAAAAAAATTACTTTATTTTAATAAAATATTATAAAA